GCAATGAGAAGCCCGCACACTGCAATGAAGAGTAGCCCCCACTCTCCACAACTAGAGAAAGCCCACGCACAGCAATGAACACCCAACACAGCCAAAAATAAATAAATTTATGAAAAAAGAATTTCGACCTAAGTCTCTTAGGGAAAAAGAAAACCACCACCTCAAAATAGATCACAGACTGCATGTAAAACATTAGAAACATTTAGAAAACAACATGGGAGAAAACCTTTAGGATCTAAGGCTAGGCAAAGTTTTTAAACTTGACACTACAAGCACGATCTATAAAATTAATAAACTGACCTCATCAAAATTAAAACTTTTCGCTCTGCAAAAGACTGTATTAAGAGGACAAAAAGATGAGATACAGAGTGGGAGAAAATATTTGCAAACCACATATCTGACAAAGGACTAGTATCCAGATTGCATAAAGAACTCTGAAAACTCAACAGCTAAAAAAAAAAAATTCAACTGGAAAATGAGGAAAAGACATAAAGAGATACGTCACCAAAGAGGATACACAGGTGGCAGATAAGCACATGAAAAGTTATTCAAGGGACTTCCCTGGTGGCGCAGTGATTAGGAATCTGCCTGCCAATGCAGGGGACACGGGTTCGAGCCCTGGTCCGGGAAGATCCCACATGCCGCGGAGCAACTAAGCCCATGCGCCACAACTACTGAGCCTGCACTCTAGAGCCTGCGAGCCACAACTACTGAAGCCCGTGAGCCACAACTGCTGAAGCCCACGCGCCTAGAGCCCATGTTCTGCAGCAAGAGAAGCCACCGCAATGAGAAGCCCGCACACCGCAACGAAGAGTAGCCCCCGCTCGCCACAACTAGAGAAAGCCCGCACGCAGCAACGAAGACCCAACGCAGCCAAAAATAAATAAAATTAATCTATTAAAAAAAAAACAGAAACAGTTCTTAGATGATATAATATTGGGGACCACAAGGTGTGACTGGGCTGCCCAGTTCAGTGGGCCTGGAAGCCACACCGCCTCCATCACTGTCTGTTGGGATAGCCCCTTGACACATTTGTTAGACCTACTCTGAGGCCCCCACTTCTCAGCTTGCCTTTATGCTGCCACACCCAAGAGGTGAAATACTGAGCATAGGAGATCATGTCCTTTTCCCCGTGGTTATCAAGGAAAGCTAAACTGTTTAATGTATAACACACACTTTCATGGATTTTTTGTCAAGATGAATAGGTCACTCCTCCCAAAAGCAACCCTTGATTTTTGAGCAAAAGAAGATAGACACAAGAGTATATACTCTGAGAGTCAAGAATAGACAAAATTAATCTATAGAGATTAGAAATCAGAGCAGTGATAGTCTCTGGTTGGGGAAGGGAATTGACTGGAAAGGGGCACTACAGAAATTTCTAGAACTGTGCTGTCTATATGGTAGCCTAGTCACATGTGGCTCTGGAACACTTGAAGCATGGCTAGTCTGAATTGAAGTGTTCTGTAAGTGTTAAATACACACCAGATTTGGAAGACTTAATGAAATAAAGAATATAAAACACCTCCTTAGCAATTTTTAAAAGATTGATTACCTGCTGAAATGATATTTTGGCTATACTAAGTTAAAGAAAATATATCATTAAACTTATTGCCTATTTCTTATTACTTTAATATGGCTACTAGAAAACATAAAATTCCACATGTGGCTCACAGTATATTTCTACTGAACAGCACTGTTTTAGAGCGATGGACAAGTTCTGTATCTTGGGGTGTTGAGTAATGGGTGAATACATTTGTTAATATTCATCAAACTGCACAACCAAGATTTGTGCATTTTACTGTCTGTAATTATACCATAAAGTCCCATGATCTTTCCACCACCCAACATAACCTTCCTGAAGGAGTCCACAGTTTACAAAGAACACAGACTAAAGAACCCCCAAGGTAAGAGCTACAATGAAGATTTTGAGCAAGGCACTCTGCATTGGTGGAAGCTTCCTTTTTTTTTTTTTTTTTTCGGTACGCGGGCCTCTCACCATTGTGGCCTTTCCCGTTGCGGAGCACAGGATCCGGATGCGCAGGCTCAGCGGCCATGGCTCACGGGCCCAGCTGCTCCGCGGCATGTGGGATCCTCCTGGACCGGGGCACGAACCCATGTCCCCTGCATTGGCAGGCGGACTCTCACCCACTGCACCACCAGGGAAGCCCGAAGCTTCCATTTTTAGCTCGAATAAAACTGATGGTGTATATGTGTTTTTGCAGAGAAAGTAAACAGGAAATTATTATTTGAGTCCAGTAAACTCAAGAAGACAGAGGGCCTGAAATACTTGGGGTTAGGAGGCATCCATGCTGCAGATTTTCCCTTGGGTCACTGTTCGGGGCTCATGGGGAAAGTACACAGGAGCCGGGGTGGAGGCTGATTCAGAACACCTGCCCTTGATGGCATCACTAAGGTACATACAAGGTTTAGCTCTTAGCTTTCTAGGGTCAAAACCCTCAATGTTTTCTGTTCACTCATAGAGGACTAGAGAAAACCAGAGAGTCCAGAGGTTAGGAGAGTTCATAAGGGTTTAAGCATAAGTAAGATTTCATACAAGTATGAAGGCTTCCTATTTCGACCACAGCCCTCTTGGATTCAGGGATCCAAGTCTCAAAGCCCAGCCTCCTTAGGAATCACAGAATGTCCACAGAAATACTGCAGAGTGCTTCTTATCCAGGTGGCCTATTTTATAAAGAAACGAAGGTCCGGAGAGGTTGAGGGACTTGCCTAAAGCCATACTGGTCGGGCTGGGCTTGCTTTCCTGTCATTCAGCTCCCAAACCGAGAAATACATGCATGCCAATGAGATTCACAGAACATGATTCCTAAGGTAGAAAAACAGCTTGTTTATTTCTGAAGGGAGAGGCCCCTGGCAGAATTATTGGTTCCTGTCATTTATCAGGACACTCCTCTAGCAAGGCCCCTGTAAGAGATGAAATTACATCCTGTACTTTGGTTTGATCAGGGGGGAAAAAAAGCAGTCCTTTATCCCAACACTCAGCGTAATCACGGATGGGTCTGTCAACACAACCAGAGCAGCCCCAGCTTGGTTCAAGCAGTTACCTCTGTCAGAACGGTCTTCCTCCTACTCTCCAGACAAGGCTCTAAACTGTGGGTCTTGGGGGTCATCGTAGGAATGTGCAAAGCCATTGTTACATAAGTACTTTCTGTCTCATAAGTCATTAGCACCAGGCTGTGGGTAAGAATTTTCTTACGCGACCTCATTTAACTCTCGCTCTCACGACAACACTATTTACACATAACAAAAGTCTCAAGTTTAACTCAGTCCCAAAGCTACCAGCTAGAAAGTGGTTCTTTTGAACTCAGATCTGTCTGGCTCCAAAGTCTTTGTCTGTAGATTGAATAAATAAATAATGTGGGAGATGTTAGGAGGGCTTCCTACGCAGGGTTCAAAAGAGTTCAAGCACAAGCAAGAGTTTATATCAATACAAGTATACAGCCTTCATCCTTCAAACCACAGACCTACCATTGGAGGGATCAGGCTCAAATTCCAGCTTCTTTAGGAAGTCTTACCTAATCCCATTCCCACCTATCAGATTCTTCCCTGCTTTGATTGACACTCTCCTGGTATAGCATCCTTACTGCCTTGAATCAGTGGGTCTATGATCCTCCCCTGCAGATCCCTTTCTGGCAAAGAAGCCACTGGAAACAAGTTCGTTCATCCTTGTATCCCCCACTGCACCCTCTACAGTAGATTGCATACCTACTGTGTGCAAGGTAGGAGAGGTAACTAAAACCAATGTGTACCAGTCACTGATTACAATGTCCAAATTTATAGTTTATTTTCTATTATTACATTTAGACTGGAGTAGTGAGTAAGGATATCATTACCAAATCCCTTGTTAATCATCTTTGGTAGATTATGGGAAGGGTCTATTTTTCTATTGTGATTTCTACCCAAAAGACTTCCTAGCTTAATATAATCCCCTCATATAGGGACAACATTTTATAGTTTCCAGTACTGGTCCCACCTGATTATAGCCATCCCCCTGGAGGGTGGTCCATGAAGCCCACTCATGCCCTTGCGCCAACCAACAGCACTGAGTCACTGGAGCCCCCGCTCTGAGGGTCACACGATTCTGAGAGGCTTGAGCCACGGCTCTCTCTGTCTTTCCCAGCTCTGAGTGTTCCCAACACCCTGGGTGCAGCTGCCCCACTGGCAGCCCCAGGCCAGCGTTAGAGGTCTGAAGGAAGCGTGCTTATTGGAGCTGCATCAGGAATCGCACTGGATTCTGCCCTCCTAGGCTCCCTGAAGCTCCAAACTAGACCATCTGCCTTCCCTGGGGATGGGGTTGTGTGGACAAGGGGAAGGGGGTCTGTAGAACAATGGGCAGCTTCTTCTTTCCTTCTGGGGAAAAAGGCTATGGACAACCCTGACTTTGATGGATAGGGGAATGTCCAGAAGATCCAGGGGCTACATTTAGGGCTGGGCAGAGGCTGACATCTTGGTAACTGGCCAGAAGAGAACCAGGTACAATCAAGAGGCCACTGAGGAGGGAATCCTCTACTACCTTCAAATCACTTGAAATTCCTACCCAGACCCCATTTGGAGGTTCTCAGGTACCAACTCTGCCCCAAAGCAAAGGCTGAGAACAGCAAGCCTTTGTCAATCCAGCATGTAGGTAGCATTAGTGACAAACTCCACGGTTAGGTAACATACTCAAGGTCACGCAGCAGGGAGGTGGAGGGCTATAACCCAAAGCAGTCTGGCTTCAAGGTTCTTGCTTTTTCTTAACAGACAGAACTGGGGATCTGATAGGTAACAGGCATGGGGTGTTTGTCAGCAAGAAAGCAGGCTGTATGTGACCAGGTCAGAAAGAGCAGAGGACAGAAGCCCTGGAGCTTTCCGCACCATGGCACCTAGAACACTGAATAGTGATCATCTTGACTTATCTTCTCCCTCACTAGACTACAAGTTCCCCGAGGACTGCGTTCTCTGGCTTTCATAAAAATACCCGCCCTGTGCTTGACGTGACTTACGTTCTCAGGAACATCTGCTGAATGCTTGAGACTCTTGAGGGCTTCTTAAGGACAAAGTAGGTGCAAAATCAGGTCAAACCATCATAGTCAGTAGGTAAGGCCTCAAGCAGCACAAGGGAGTGGCAGGAATGGGAGGGAATTAGGCCAAATGCTCAGGAAGTCTTTCTCTGGACACATGGATCTCCTGACAGAGTCAGAATTTCAATGAGGCCTGGTGCCCCTACTCTGCAATTGTAGGCCTGCAGCATGTAAGAGACCTGCTTTGTTTACACATAAAAAGTCAAAGGTCAGGGGACTTCCCTGGTGGGGAAATGGTGAGAACCGTTTTCTTCATCAGAATCCCATCTGCTGACCTGCCCTGAGCCACTGGGTTTTCCCAGAAAATTAAGCCTAGTGATCTGAAAGCACTGCATGCTTTCTATATTCAGAAACCAGCAAGTTCAAAACGTTGTGATCTTGGAGTTCTAGCCAAAGAGGAGTTGTTTGCATCTCCCTCCAACTTCATTCCTTTTTTTTTTTTTAACCAAGCAGTTCTCTCAGAGAACTTTCGGCTTCTCATCACTTTTCCATGCCCAGACCTACACTCCACCTGGCATCCAAAACTGTGTCCTGACCCCAGACCTAGCTGGCTGGCAGGGCAGGCTCAGTGGTGCCCAGGCCTCCCCCTGCTGGGCCCTGAAGATAAAAGCCACCACTGATAACATCAGCGGGAGCCCAGCTCTGCTTAATCAACACACTTTCACATCTGTTATCTTACAGGGAAGTAACATTACTTACTGTGTTGCTGTAGAGGCAGCAAAACTACTTGGAAACACATCCTCCACCTGCCAGCCCCCATCCCACCCTCTGCATTGAGGACAGAAGAAAACAGGCCCAGTAAGTAGCAAGGAGCCAAGCGGTGTTTGAGGAGAGGGGTGACTGCTGAGCTTAGTGGCCTAGGGTGGACAACACCGGGTGGAAGATCCCCAAGTTTATCCCTGCAAGGGGTCCAGCTCAGAGGCAGTGTCCTGGGGACAGAGTACAGGCCTTGCCCCTGCCCCTCCCCCTCGGGACAGACTGCTAAAGGCTCCCACTTCTGGCCATCAGTGTGCCCGCGAATGGACGAACCTAAAGTCCCAGACCAGAGCCCAGAGTCAGTGCACGGTCCCTGCCAGCCACCAGCCGCAGCCCCAGTCTGCGTGGGCCAGGCCAGCATTTCCTGTTGCCTAGGTGCCAGGTGCGGGGTACCTACTCTCCCGCGTGTGCCGCCCGGAGGTGGGGCAGCCGCGGGCCTCCCAGCCCGAGCGCGATCAGCCCCCAGCGAGGTTCCGCAGGACCCCCAAGATCCCCTCCGGGGGACGGGGCCCGTCCCTCTCCTCCCAGGCCGCGTACCTGAGGGGACGGACGCCCCACAACCCCACTTCCTGCCAAACCCGGGAGAGGCCGACCCGGGCCCCCAGCACCCCCGGGCTCCGGGCGCACAGCCTCCCGACGCGCAGCATCCCGACGTAGACAGCCATGGCTCGCCACGCCCGCGTCCGGGCCCGAGTAAACTTTTAGTGCGCTGAGGCGGGGCGAGCGCGGAGCGGGCGGGGAGGCGGGAGGGTCGCCTCTGCCTATGGGTTGCGGAGGACTAGGTGCCGGCCGGGCGGGGCGGGGCGGGGCGAGGCGAGGCCTCCGAGGCTTGTTGGAAGAGAAAGCGTGCGGGTCACCTTCCCCTTGACCCGCCGCCCTCCGCCTCCCACCCTCTTAAAATGGCCCTCGTTTCCTTCTGGATCCGACGTCCCCGGCCCGCAGCCCAAGGCAGGTCTCCCTTCCCAACCACCAGGGGCTTGGGTCTGGGGGCGCAAGAGCGTGTTGATTTCCTAGAGGGGGAGCCAGCGGCGCGGCGCGGCGACGCCAGACGCGGCCGTCCCCCGAGCCGTGTTGGCGCGTGGGTCACGTGCGGCCCCCGTCCCCCCGCGGGTTGCCGGCCAGAGGCCAGGGAAGCCAGCGCGAAGCGCCCCCAGCCATGCCGGCTGGAGCAGAGAGCCCGCGGGGGAGAGGAGGCAGCTGGGACAAAGCGTGGCGCGGCTGAGACCGCTGCGGCCCGAGTACTGGCTGAAGACAGACGTCAGCTTCAGAAGGGACTCCATTAACAAATGGAGGGGACCCCCACGTCCCAAGCGTCAGCCTCCCATCCCTCCCCAGACTTCTGCCTTGACCTGCAGTGCACCCTAAGGTGGCCTCAGGCGTTGGAACCTGTCCACCACCCCCACCTCCGCGCCCCAGGCACAATTCCTGAGGCTGAGGAGTGAATGAAAAGTAAACCTCTCTCTCTCCAGACCCTCCCTGTGGTCCCCTGAAGCCCAAGTGTGGTTGCAGGATGGAGAGAAGGTGACTGCCCATCTCTGGACTTACCTAGGAAAAGAGGCACTGGACAGCAGTGTGGCACGTGTGCCAGGTCCGTAGTGTCTCGGTGTAGCCGTGGCCCTTCTTCCAGAGGAGAAGGGGGAGAGCAATACGGGAAAGACCTTAGCAGGGTGGCCTCCCCTCTCCTGACCCAGAGGCAGTGATACACACTGGGCCAGGAAGAAGGGGTGGCTGAGGGCGGGGCTTGGCCTGAGAAGATCTTCGCCTTTATCTGGGAATTTTGGCTCAACCGAGGTTGTGAGAAGGAGACAACGCCGCTCCTCTTCATGAGCCTGAGAGTGACCTCGATCCCTCTGAAACCCTAGCTCCTGGGGAGGGTCCCCACACTTCAGTTGTGTGGGGATGGGCTTGTAAGGGCCTGCCTTCCTCATAGACTAGCTCACAGACTCTGATAGCCCAGCCCAGGGAATGTGGGGCGCTAAGGAGTATCCCAGGTCTGGGTACCAAGCCCTGCTTGGCAGACTCTGCTACTAGCTTGCTGGGTGACCCTGGGTAAGTCATTTCTCCTCTCTGGGCCTGTGAAGTGAGGAGTGGATACTGAGCTTGCAGGCCCTTGCACTTTCTTTGCTAGTTTGAGGATCCTGGAGGGGGAAGGGTGGAATGAGTCCCTCCCTGAACTTTGCTCCAGACTCAGCTTTCCACACACTGGGCTTTCCTGACTTCCCAGACATAGATGTCGTGGAATCACAGCCACCAGTTTCAAGATATCTCCCCCATGCCACCAGGCTCTTCATGCCAGGCTCTTCAAGGACGTTATCTCTGCCCTCACAATCAACCTGCAAGGAACAGGCATGCCTTGGAATGTGTCTCTGGTTTTATGGATAAAGAAATTGAGACCCAAAGCGGTTCAGCTACTTGTCCAAGGTCAAGGTGGGCTCAGTGAACACAAGCCAAGGCTCTGTCTATACTCAGTTTGTGGCTTTGGGCAAGTCACGGGGCCTTTCCAGCCTCAGTCATCTTTAAAATGGGAATAATACTAGCCTCACACAGAGGGCTGGGGTAATCACTGAGTACAGTAGCACAGAACTGGTACTCGACCAGTTTTCAGTGATGGTTAGTTTCTTTTTCCATCCTCTTCTTCCTCCTGTGTCTACACTCTGAGACCTTCCTCTGCGTTAGGTATTGCAAACCTTTTTTTTTTTTTTTTTTAGGAGGAAGAATTACTTTTCATCTCTGCAAAGCCTTGAGAGCTGTGGTAGGCACTGGTTTCAAGGAAGGTGAGGAGGGCTGGGGGAAAGAAAAATGGAAATGCCTGATGTGAGAGTTCCTGAGTCCGGGTAGCAGATCATGGTGACCAGAATTCTTGGGTCACTTTGAGGGAGTAGGTAGCTGGGCATATTGGCCATCCATGCCGTCCAACTTTCCTCTCTCATCCGTCAACCAACTCAGTTCCTCATAGCTCCCCAAGGGGCTTCCTGCCTGATCCGAGCATATCTGCTTGTGCTGCACGTGACCCGCATGATTTATGGCCCCTGTGATTTTGCTCATGCCTTTGGCTACCCTGAGAAAGCCCTTAGGCCTTCCCCTTTGCCAATTTCCTCCCCTTCCTGTGCTTCAAAACCGGTCTCATACTGTAAACATAATTTATTGATTTTTTTTAAAACTTCTTAGCATCAACCTATGAAAAAGTCCAGAAGACTTAACTGAAGTTAGGGAACAGAATGTAAATGCTACAAAACTTGGAAGTCACACTTGACAGTAGTGTTGAGAGGGAAGGGACAGGAGATGAGAGTGGAGGCAGATACTCTTACCTTACAAACTGAGGTGTCAAGAGATCCTGTTTATTGATGATGGAGCATGAAATAAAGGAATGTGTCATTTAAAGTTACAAAGCAACCAGTGTACGTACAAAAATAACAATAAAACTATATTAGAAGGACATGAGGAGGAAAGATGGGAGTGCGAATCCTTACCTTTTAAACAGAAAATCAAGAAATGTCTGAATAAGTATGTTGTTTACAGGTAAATAACAGAAAATAAAACAGAAACAGTTAAAGTAATTCAGATGGTTCCCTTTGGACTTTTTTTTTTTTCTGGCATTTCTATAACTTTATTTGACAATCAGCCGTTAGTTCTCATCCACATTAACTGCAGATTTTTGAAAGTGGTGACAGGTAAATTGGTAACCAACGTATAGAGCTTGTTTGGTGACTCTTCATCTTCATTATGTTTTCTGGACAACCACACACGGGTACGGTATGGGACATTCCTTATTCCTTTGGAGCAGACAGCTTTGTTGAGCCTAGTGTCAATGCGTACATCTGGAGTGCCCATCTCCTTCATGGCAAATGTCCGGATTTCTTTGAGTGCCTGAGGGGCACACTTCTTGAAACCCACTCCAGGGATGCGCTTGTGAACGTTGATAGTGTATACTCTGGTCACCACCTCGCTGATGGCTGACCGGCCCTTCTTCTTCTCGCTGCACTTTGCAGGAGCCATCCTGCCGGGCTGGGGTTGGAAAGGATTCCCTTTGGACTTGAATAGACATTTCTCCAAAGAAGATGTATGAATGGCCCACAGACACATGAAAAGGTGCTCAACGTCACTGGTCATTAGGGAAATACAAATCAAAACCACAATAAGTTACTACCTCACATGCTTTAGAATGGCTACTATCAAAAAAACAGAACAGTAGGTGTTGGTGAAGATGTGGGGAAATTGGAACACTTGTGCATTGCTGGGGGGAATGTAAAATGGTGCAGCGGCTGTGGAAAACAGTATGGCAGTTCTTAAAAAAATTAAGAACAATTACCACATGATCCAACAATTCCACTTCTGGGTATGCACCCAAAAGAATTGAAGGTAGGGACTTGAGTAGACATTTGTACATCAATGTTCATTGAAGCATTATTCACAATAGCCAAAGGCAGAAACAACCCAAATGTCCGTGGATGGATGGATGGATGGATGGATGAACAAGATGTGGTGTATACAACAGAATATTATTCAGCCTTATAAAGGAAGGAAATTCTGACTTACGCTACAAGGGTCAACCTTGTAGCAACATTTAAGGTATGCTAAGTATGATAAGGACAAATACTATATGATTTCACTTATACGAGGAGTCTACAGTAGTCAAATTCATAGAGACAGGAAGTAGAATGATGGTTGCCAGGGGCTGCAGGGAGGGGGAATAGGGACTTCTCGTTGTAGGATACAGGATTTTAGTTTGGGAAGATGGAAAAGTTCTGGAGATGGGTGGTGGTGATGGTTACAAACAATGTGAATGTACTACTACTTTTTGTTAAAAAGCCTTTTTCTTGTTTTATTTTCCTAAGACGGTGTACATGTTTTCTCTTAATAAATTTTTTTATTAACAGCCCAAGGGAGGCATCCTGACTAGTGGCATTGATCATTTACAGAGACTAGCATGTTTCATGAGGTTTTCAATGGGTGCCAAGGGGTTACATAGGCCTGCAATCGGCCTCGGAGTCAGGTCTGGGAAGAATCCAGCTCTGCTGCCTTTCCTCTCAATGACCCTGAGCAAAGTTCTTTTCTCTGGTGTAATTTTTCAAAGCTCTCTGTTGTAAATGACTGTTTCCAAGTAGTATATGAAAAATGTCTCTTTCAAAGAAATTTCTTCTCTGTAAGTCTGAGAAGGGAGCTGTCTAATAAGAGATGCAGTAGTCATGAAGGAAAGGTGGGAAAAAAGACACTGCTGGCAGCCACATAAAGAAGAAAAAGGAGGATGAGGGAGGGACTTTTACATAAAGAAGAAAAAGGAGGATGAGGGAGGGACTTTTAATTTTGAAAGAAGAGATGACAGTGACTTGATACATGATGCCTATACTCTACCAATCAGATCCAGTAGCCAGTATCAAAAACAAAACAAAACAAACAAAAAAGCAGGGCTGATAAAAATTGTTCTAAAAACGATGTTTCTGATTTTCTAGCTGAAAGTGAAAATAAGGAACTCGTTCTGAACTGCTGTGTAAAGTAAAATTATTTG